CATTCAATTAATATTTTAACTTTCCCCGTTTCCACTTGCTCCTACTCTGTTCTCCTACTGGTAGGAGCACGAGGACCATAAGGATATGTATGTATATCCTCGTGCTCCTACTAATGGACGGTCAAGTACAACGATGTCACTTGATTACTAATATCAATAGTGACTAAATGCGAGTTGAATTTAGTTGAATTTTGAATTTTGTGGTGAAAGCTTATCAGAATTTTTCATCGGCGCCACTTTTAAAAGTTACCCTACACCTTTTAGCCAATTACTTATCATTCACGGAGATCTCTGTGGTTCCCCACGGGAAACTAATACAGTGCATTTAACATTTGCATTCATGCCAGACAAAAAGCAACAGACTTATGTCACTGTTTTACAAATTTCATTCGGATTATGAGAGTGCCATTATTAATGCACTGTTAGAGGAGTTCCCTGAAAGCGTGGTTAAGGGCTGTTATTATTACCACATGACAAAGGCTTTGTGGAAGAAAAGTAATGAAAGTCGTTTAAGTCCAACGAAAGATTCAACGCAGATTCGTCGGACTTTGTACTGCCCTTCCTCTATTGCCTGTTAATCTTATCGACGATGGTTGGACTTTTATCCAATATTTCCAAAAGCCATGGACGAAAGGCCAGTTTCGAAGTAAATGGCGTGTATTATGAAGAAAAGCATAGAACCGACAACGTTGCCGAAAGCTGGAACTCAGCCCTGAAGCCCTTGAACAAATAAGTCCAAAGAAATGTTACTTTGCTTCGTGTGCTGAACGTTCTTCGAAATGCTACAGCCGACAAAGGTATCCCGATAAAACAGCGTCGAGAGGATCTCGTAACTGATACTTCAATAATAAATACCCAAATGCCGCTTATACACGGTGAAATTACTGTAGGTAATTGTTTGGAAATACTAAGGTAATTGTATAAAACTTTCATTGTTGTGTACTATTGCATATAAGGTTCCGATAGGAGCATAAGGACATATTGGTCCACGTACTCTACCAGTAGGAGAACAGAGTAGGAGCAAGTGGAAACGGGGTTAACTTTTTTCTGCTTAAAACTAGTTAGCTATTTTTTTATTTTGATTATTATTAAACTTTATTTTTAATAAAATCTTTCTTTTGAATTATGAACTCAATGTTGTATTTCTGTCTTAAAACGAATCTGTCTTAACCGGCTTTTACCCGTGGTCCCCCCAACATGTCCCCGGTTAAAATAAATTGGGGACATGTTGGGGGGACCACGGGTGAAAGCCGGTCTTAATCTTTTCAACGCCAATGACGGATACATGCGTATGTCGGAGGCAAATTGTATGATTCCGCATTTTACAAACGGCGTCGTCAGTTCACAAACGCTCGCTGTTCTATGAAATGCCGAAGGCAAAATGTAAATTGCCTTGGCACTTCATAATATGCCACAAAATTTGATAGCCAATTCATTCGCCGTTTACAAAATGCCGCGGTAAATTGAAGTAGGTATTTAGTTCTTTTTCTTACTGCCAATCAAAACAAGAAAAATGGCGTCGAGTAGTGGTGTTGTGATACAGAAAAATATTGAAAACAGTGCAAATTCTACGTATTCAAAGGACTTTTCACAAAACACGATTGTTTTAAAGACATTTATTTTACGATTCACAAATAGGAGCAGTGAAAAGCTGTGAACAAATGAAAAANGCTGTCTTACTTTCGTGGCCGAATACGCAATTCCCTTATAACAAGGGAACATGGCATACAATGGACAAATAAAAATGTTCCTTGAATAAGCTATCCTGTTAATTTCAGCTTTATATTACGACTTAAAAGAAAGTTATTGAACTGCGAAAAATATTAGGAATTCTTCTATAAGCCAACCAAATTATAAAGGTTACAGAAAAGCGATCACTCCATACATTGTCATACAGGTATACTTCAAATTAGTAGCTAGCTTAGCTGTCAATGTTTTGTACAGTTATGTGGAATATTGTAATTCGTGCAAACGATTTTTAAATAATAAAGGACAATGGGCTAAATGGTACCCGGCTCCAATAGATATGCTTCTAGTGTCATTTGAAAGGTCTTACCAAGACAAACAACTTTTACAATGGCCACCAGCCTCAGATCTGGTTCTGTTCGAAGATAAACATACTTTTTGTGTAACTGAAGATCATACGTGTTTTTTTTGGTATCCTTCCGTTTGGCCAAATTACTTTTCGCCAAATTTCACTTCGCAAACAACTTATCGCCAAAGTTTCATTTCCCAAATGAACTTTTAGCAACTGTACTTTTCGCAACTGATTCATTTGGTCAAATTATCATTTGGCCAAATTTTACTTGGCAAATGTTTATATAGCAAATGTTTTATGTTGCCAAATATTATATCCCAAATAATTTTTTTGGTCAAATTGACACTTCACATACTTACCCACCGTTACCCACAAATCAAAGCATAAGGCAGATGATCATGGATTTCACAAGAATTTTATGTAAAACAAAGAGATTGCAGAAAATAGTATGGTTGCAGAAAGTAGGTATTGCCGAAAATAGTAGGTTAGGTTAGGTTAGAACAGTGACCCTTAATGCGCGAAGGCGAGCGAAGCGTGCCGCGGCAGCGGCCGCCGAGCGCTAGAATCACCTCTATTGTTAATGAATCATTTGGAAATTTCGATACAAAGAATGAAATAAGGAAATTAATGTAGAACAAATTTTATATTAACTACCCACTAAACAAAATAATAACCACAAGCTAATTTGCATACCATTCTATATGTTATAGTTAAACCTCGAAGTTCCGGCACTCCTAGGTTTGACTAGTCAATCCTCAGGTCTGACTAGAAGTCTTAGTCAAAGCCCAAACATTTCGGTCTTTGACTAAAGAATGTTTGTCAAACCTAGGAGTAACTAATTTGGTCAGGCAAACGTCGAAACTCAATTTAATGAAATCGGGGTTTGACTAGTCAAATCTCAATAAGACTTTAAACTAAACTATACTTCATTCTGATCTCGAATTTATTGCAAAGGCGTTACGGTCGGTTCTTTAGGTGAAGGTATGAGTAACTAAAATTATTTACTGCAGTTGTTTGTCAGTGTTTCTAGACCTATCTTGAAATTACTAATTTTTAGGGTTCTATTACCTTAAACTTTAAAGTAACAGAAGGTCATTTAAGGCTTAAAGGATAAAGAGTTAAAACGGGACCCTATTACTATGACTTCGCCAAATGTTGTCTGTCACCAGGCCTGTAACTCATGAATCATTTTCAAAAGATTTAGTTTTTTATTAACTTTAAAAATAAATAAATCAATAAAATACTTTGCAGTTTTCTGCTCGATATTAAAACTCCCATACAAGAACAGAGTCGCACGGAACCCTTCGTGAGCGAATCCGACTCGCACTTGGCCGGTTTTCTATTTGCTGTCTACTTCTGACCGAGTCTGCCAGTCGTTTCTAGGATTGACTAGGCAAAGTCCGATACAGATTATTTTAGTTTCGACGTTTGACTGAACAGATTAGGCACTTCTAGGTTTGACTTAGTCAATGGCCGAAATTAGAAATCACTTCGGGGTTTGCCTGAAGGCCTTCGTCAAACCTAGGATAAACCAGTCATTCCGCGAAGAGACTGCATATCGACCTTTGACTATGACATATACACCAAACAAATTATTTTGTAAATAGTTTATCGTGAAATATTTTTGCCTAATGAAACATTTGGCAAACCATATTTTGCCAAACAATAATTTGCTAAACAATAATATGCCAAAAACAACATTTGCGAATTAAAAGTTTGCAATAAGTTGCTTTGCCAAATGAAAATTTGCGAAACGTTGTTTGCGATGTGATAATTTGGGAAACGTTTTTTGGCCAAACATTAGTAATCCGTTTTTTTTTGTGTCCATCGTATGGTACCTACTTACGTTATGCGAGACATGAAGGGTTTACTGCTCCTGCATCCTTCCTTAAGTCTATAATTATTTATAGGGATAATTGTGAAATAAATATTTTTATTTGAAGAACCCCTTATTAATAAAGAGTTACACCTAGGAAGAACCATGGATTAAAATGACATTTCCATACCAAATGACAATCTAAGCCATAGTTGAACTAGGGTGTAACTTGATTTTATTAATAAAGGGGTTAGAATTTTATTACTTCATGAGGATTTTATTATGGGTTGCTAAAGTGAATAAACCCACAAGACCCAATAAGTCCACCTACAAGATGGACCGACGACCTCAGAGTGCATTACCGCAGCAAAATTTTTATAAATGTTGTGCTTTAGANTGTGAAAACGCCAGATAAGGAAGAAGCCAGTGGTTATGTTTTGTTATAATCTCATTTTTATAAACGTTTCCCCATTTTTTACCACATGATTTGTATAACGTAGATAGTTATTGTAATTTGTATTATGTAATTAGCACATTATTTTTATTTCTTGTATGTAAGTATGTAGAGATTGATTGAATTGAACATTGAACCTGTATTAACGTATATAATTTATGTATGTTATTGTAATTAGCGCATTATTTTTTTATTTCTTATTTAAAGGGGGGGAGTACTGTGCCGGTATGCACAATACTTTATCTCTTCATATCTTATCTTGATCACGTTCACAGTGTCAGCACATTTATCACGTATAGTGCTGATGCTGTGACGTCATTTACCTTTGATCTATATTAGTATAAATAGCCGCGCAGTTCACATTAATAAACAGATTAATATCAGAGACTAACTACAACCCGTGTCTCATTCATACGGTCCCCCAACATGGCACACGTTGATTCTATGAAGTGTTCTGTTATAGTTGAGTACTGCGTCGGCGGGTAGTGGTAGTTCTGGCACGTAGAGCAATCTAATTGAAACCTAATTCTTAAAGTCACAAGGACTACACTCACCCAAGCCGGTAGCCAGCACCAAGCTCGTAGACTCTAATCCCGAAGGGGCAGTATAGATTGCGTTGATTCTATGCAAGGTTCTGTTATAGTTGAGTACTGCGTCGGCGGGTAGTGGCAGTTCGGGCGCGTAGGGCAATCTAATTGAAACCTAATTCTTAAAGTCACAAGGACGAAACTCACCCAAGCCGGTAGCCAGCACCAAGCTCGTAGACTCTAATCCCGATGGCGCGGTGTATATCGCGTTGATTCTATGCAAGGTTCTGTTATAGTTCAGTACTGCATCGGCAGGTAGTGGTAGTTCTGGCGCGTATGGTATGAGGCCTTCTTCTCGCTGCTCGGGCGTGGGAGCCAGCGGCCGCCGCGGCTCTAAGTATGCCCAAGGAAGTTCCAGTATCGCTCCGGTTGATAACGCCACTGTAAATAGTATTGTAGTTATTTGTCACATACGTCAGCAAGTCAACCTTACAAATTATTTATTATTGCTCCAATGGGCATTAAAGTGCTTCTTGAGCTGTCTAATAAAGCCATTTTTGTGCTTAGTTGGTACCACCAGTGAGGACACTGCGGCTTTAACGCTCATAAGCAAGTGACAAGACCTTACTTTATAGTGGGCCATTATAATGAGAGCAAATATGAATCTTCAAAACACCTTAGCGCTCACCAGTTGACGCCATGATCTTAGTCACTGTGAGTTACATGACCTTACTCTACAGTAGCACCAATGGATAGACGTAAATACGTTAGCGACTTCTTTAAGTAAATTTTGGATTGAGTCTAGAATTCCCATTTCTTTTAAACTTTCAGGGAATGTTTTGTAAAATGAATAACCATGTGTGTACGAACTTAGTAGTTTCTACTCACACAACACGTGTTTGTTTATCCGTCAGCGATTGCTCCTTTGTAGTGACGGCGAAGGCGAGCGGCGCCGCGGAACAAACTGAAGGCCGCGCCCGCTTCCAGCGAGCGAGACTTGCCCTCATACTCCAATGCTAATGCTGAAGCCTTTTCTACATAAACAAATGTTTCCACTCACGCAACACATGTTTGTCCGTCAGCGATCGCTCGGTAGTGGTGACGGCGAAGGCGCGCGGCGCCGCGGGCAACACATATGCCGCGCGGTACACGCTGGGGGCGCGCGCGCCGCGGAACGAGCTGAGCGACACTTGCCCTCTGTAGTGTTTGTATCTACGTACTAGATACAATACGCTGTCTCACGCACACATGTGAAAGGCAGTTACGTGACATCGTTATGAGAGAAACGAGTCGAGTCAGTTGTACGGCAGACGCCGGCGAGGACGGACGTGCCGCAGTAAGACGCTTGGTGCGACGGTGAGCCAGTGAATAGTGCGTGCACATTTAGGTACACTACACCCTCGTACAGCTCTAGTGCTATAGATCGTCTCATCCACGAAGACGCGCCCCACCATTCTTCCGCTAATGTTCGAGTGTTATCGGTACACGCTGAATTATCCATGAGTGCACTCGCACACTACAATAATGACGCTCGGATTGATCGGATCAAACTCCCCGCACCCCGCGCTTCCTTCGACCAAGAATTGGAGGTTTTTGTGGATGGAACGATCTATAAAGCTAGAAACCTTTTCTACATGTATAAATGTTCTACTCACGCAACACGTGTTTGTCCGTCAGCGATCGCTCGGTTGTAGTGACAGCGAAGGCGCGCGGCGCCGCGGGCAACACATATGCCGCGCGGTACACGCTGGGGGCGCGCGCGCCGCGGAACGAGCTGAATGCTGTGCCCGCTTCCAGCCAGCGGGACTTGCCCTCGTACAGTTCTAAGGTACCTGATTACACCGAAATAGCCACTATAACACAAATAACAATATGTACTTTCAATGAGGGTTTTCGCAATTGAAAAATCCGCCAGATGGCAATACGTAGACGCGGTCCAAATGTTGCTTGATTGGTGGATTTTGACATATCTGTCAATGTCATCAAAAATAACCAATCATGCAGCATTTGGACCTCGCGTCTATTCAAAATTTCAATTGCGAAAACCCTCATTGAACAAGTACAAATAGATATTCAATCTCTGAGATTGGAAATAGTTCAACTCGTGCTGACAACAGCACTGATTTTCTTTTCTTCTTCTTCGTGGAGAAAGTGGTCGTGAAAGCTTAGAAACGGGACCGGCTCCCGTCTCGGTCGCTGGTTTTGTGGTCTCCATTTGACCTGATGATGACTCACTTGTTACCTCCATATTTTGATCTTAATTTTTACGAGGTAATGTTGTTAACACCTTTTATCTGTTATCTGTAGGCCTAGGATGCGCGCCGCGATAAGCCCATACGCTTATCATCCATCGATAAGACTTTATCTCGGCGCGCATCCTAGCCCGATTGGTGATAACTGACTTGTTGCCACCATATTTTTATCTTGATCTAGTCTATCTATATAAATAAAAATGAGTTGTTGTTCGTTAGTCCGATTAAAATTAGATTTATTCACGCTATCTCTTGGGCAGTTCAAAAATGCAATCCATTCAAAATTAAAAGTTATTAGTACGAGCATTCAGGATTAATTTAATTTCTGTCTTTATATTCATAAATGTAATATTGGACTTTGCCCACGGCTTTTCCCGCGTGAGGTTGAGTGTGTCACGAATCGTTGTGAATTGTAGCCCATATGTTATTCTGATATATAAATAATAACACTGTAAAGTTTCATCATAATCTATTTAGAACTTCTTGCACTCTTAATTTATTAAGTGAAAATTTAATTTATTTATAATTATTTCACTTTTGTGTATCATAACAGTTTCGGCACTATTGTCTTGTATTTGTTATATAAATTGTTATATTAATACGTAACACTAGTAGATTGTCACTGCTTTGGTTTTTGTTTTCCTTTTTTGAAAATTACTTTGCGAACAATGTTATTGGTTACATAATTAGTAATATTAATAATAGTCATTAATACTGGTATAAGCTATATTATGTAATTGTTTGTTGTTCTGAATAAAATAAAATAAAATAAAACTCGAGAACGGCTGGGCCGATTGAGCTGATTTTGGTTTTAAAATGTTTGTCGTAGTCCAGGGTAGGTCTAAGCGGTGAGCGATATTGTTTTTCTGTGACAGACAAAATTCCACGCGGATGAAGCCGCGGGCGGAAAGCTAGTTTAAGATAGAAGGATGTTTTCAGAGTAGCTCACCAATCTTGCTCCCATATTTTGAACCTTATTGAGATGAACTAAGGTTACAACTCACCGATCTCAGTCCTACGATGTTTGTCGCTGTGGTAGACGAAGGCGGCGAAGTTGTCCTGCTGCACCGCCAGAGGGAGCGCACGCGCGCGCCGCGCCGCCGCTGAAGCCAGTACTGCGCCTGACGCTGCGTCCACGCACGTCGCGACTACCACGTCTGTGATACGACATGAAACAATAGACAGTTTGACACCATACCCCAATAATTCGAAACCACAACTGTTTTAAAAATACTCTTCATTCTGGTCTTAAAAACCTAATTTATTTTAAATTACCTGTAAATTTCGTTTTTTGTTCGAATTGTAATTGAAAAAAGTAGTTTAATTGGGTTGACAAAATAGTGACGTCACTTGCTTGTAGTGCCATACAAAATCTATGGGAGAGTTTCGTTATGACAGTTTTAAAAAGTACGTCAATTGACTGTGGTGTCAACATGTCTATTATTAAACAGATTTTACAAAATTAATCAGTCAATTTACAAAGAAAATTCCCTCCATCACAGATTTAGTACCGACAGAAATCATAATAGATCTGCTGCAAACAGCAATCGCTGGAAGAAATATTGTGGATAGAAAAGTTGATTTAGACTTTCCGTTGCGTGGAGCGGATTCTGCGCCCTCTTGACTTTACATTTACCAATCAAACCCACGCAGTGGAGGACCACAGTGCACCACCTTTGTGTATAGAGTTGGGCCTGTTAGTGACGAAGAGAAACGCACCGCCGAGCTTGAGCGCCCCCGTATACTGGGCTACAACTGACTTTTGTGTATGGGGTCGGGTCCCTCCGTCACGAACAGCACCATATTAGGGTTGGCGTGCTTGTACAGCACGCTGCGGTCGCCCAGCACGCGGCCCGTCGAACCCGCGCGTATACTGGGCTACTAAAGACTTTTGTGTATGGGGTCAGACTCCTTGGTGACGAAGGGAAACACGCGATGCGGTGAAGGGAACCACCGCCGAGCTTGAGCGACCACGTCTTCTGGGCTATCATTGACCTTTGTGTAAAAGGTAGGGCCTGTCAGTGACGAAGAAAAACGTACCGCCGAGCTTGAGCCCCCCCATATACCGGGGGACAACTGACTTTTGTGTATGGGGGCGGACCCCTCAATGACGAAGAGAAACGCACCACATAATTTGAGGTAGCCACGTATACTGAGTATGCACCACTGATATTTGTGTATGGGATCAGACTCTTTGGTGACGAATAAAAACGCATCGCCTTGTTTATACTGTGCTACCACTGACCTTTGTGTATAGGATCGGGTCCCTCCGTCACGAACAGCACCATATTAGGGTTGGCGTGCTTGTACAGCACGCTGCGGTCGCCCAGCACGCGGCCCGCCGAGCCCGCGCGTATACTGGGCTACTAAAGACTTTTGTGTATGGGGTCAGACTCCTTGGTGACGAAGGGAAACACACGTTGCGGTGAAGGGAACCACCGCCGAGCTTGAGCGACCACGTCTTCTGGGCTACCACTGACCTTTGTGTATAGGGTAGAGCCTGTCAGTGACCAAGAGAAAAACACCGTCTAGTTTGCGCACCCACGTCTACTGAGTATGCACCACTGACATTTGTATATGGGGTCGGGTCCCCAGCTTTCTGAAGAAGTCCATTCGGGTTATCTGTTCCCTGAAAAACACTAACAGCGTGGGCTACGATGAGTTAGATACAGCGGCAATCAAATGTTGTGCTGATTATCTGGCTCCACNTTATGTAAATTTGTACGCCGACCTTGGGCCAAACATAGTGATACCGACCTCATTTTTAACACCTGTAATATGTTATTTACCTATGTTCCACAAATAAACGAATTTGATTTGATTTGATTTGATTTGGTCCCTCCGTGTAGCTTGAGCGCTCCAGTCTGGGCTACCACTGACCTTTGTGTATAGGGTCGGGTCCCTCAGTGACGAACAGCACCATATTAGGGTTGGCGTGCTTGTACAGCACGCTGCGGTCGCCCAGCACGCGGCCCGCCGAGCCCGCGATGCCACGATGCGGTGCGGCTATACTGAGCTACTAGTGACCTATGTGTATGGGGTCAGACTCCTTGGTGACGAAGGGAAACACACGATGCGGTGAAGGGAACCACCGCCGAGCTTGAAAGGCACTGCCTAGTTTGCACACCCACGTATACTGGGCAACAACTGACCTTTATGTATAGAGTTGGGCCTGTCAGTGACGAAGAGAAACGCACCGCCAAGTTTGAGCGCCCCCGTATATTGTGCTATAACTGACCTTTGTGTATAGGGCCGGGTCCCTCCGTCACGAACAGCACGAGGTTGAGTTTGGCGTGCTTGTAGAGCACGCTGCGGTCGCCGCCTAGTTTGCACGCCCACGTATACTGTGCTACCACCTTCCTTTGTGTATGGGGTCTGGTCCCTAGCTCCATAACGAAGTCCCTCCACCTAGCTTAAGCGCTTCCGTCTGTGCCACAACTGACCTTTGTGTATAGGGTCGGGTCCCTCCGTCACGAACAGCACCATATTAGGGTTGGCGTGCTTGTACAGCACGCTGCGGTCGCCCAGCACGCGGCCCGCCGAGCCCGCGATGCCACGATGCGGTGCGGCTATACTGAGCTACTAGTGACCTATGTGTATGGGGTCAGACTCCTTGGTGACGAAGGGAAACACACGATGCGGTGAAGGGAACCACCGCCGAGCTTGAAAGGCACTGCCTAGTTTGCACACCCACGTATACTGTGCTACCACTGACCTTTGTGCATAGGGTTGGGTCTGTCAGTGACGAAGAGAAACGCGCCGCCAAGTTTGAGCGCCCCCGTATACTGTGCTACCACTGACCTTTGTGTATGGGGTCGGGTCCCCAGCTTTCTGAAGAAGTCCATTCGGGTCCCTCCGTGTAGCTTGAGCGCCTCAGTCTGTGCCACAACTGACCTTTGTGTATAGGATCGGGTCCCTCCGTGACGAACAGCACCATATTAGGATTGGCGTGCTTGTACAGCACGCTGCGGTCGCCCAGCACGCGGCCCGCCGAGCCCACGATGCCACGATGCGGTGCGGCTATACTGAGCTACTAGTGACCTATGTGTATGGGGTCAGACTCCTTGGTGACGAAGGGAAACACACGATGCGGTGAAGGGAACCACCGCCGAGCTTGAAAGGCACTGCCTAGTTTGCACACCCACGTATACTGGGCTACTAATGACCTTTGTGTATAGGGTTGGGCCTGTCAGTGACGAAGAGAAACGCACCGCCTAGTTTGACGCCCACTTATACTGTGTTACCACTGACATTTGTGTATGGTGTCAGACACTTTGGTGACGAAGAGAAACGAATCGCCCAGTTTGAGCGCCCCCTTATACTGGGCAACAACTGACCTTTATGTATAGGGTTGGGCCTGTCAGTGACGAAGAGAAACGCACCGCCTAGTTTGCGCGCCCACGTATACTGTGTTACCACTGACCTTTGTGTATGGGGGCGGACCCCTCAATGACGAAGAGAAACGCACCGCCTAGTTTGAGGTAGCCACGTATACTGAGTATGCACCACTGATATTTGTGTATGGTGTCAGACCCCTCGGTGACGAAGAAAAACGCATCGCCTTGTTTGAGCGCCCACATATACTGTGCTACCACTGACCTTTGTGTATAGGATTTGTGTTACAACTGATCTACTGCTGAATAAAGATCACCCTCAAGGATTTCCACAACGACCGGTATTGCGCTGCTCCCACCCAGATTCTTCCCGCAACCTTCACCAGATCGTCTGTCCACCTAGAGGGAAGCCTGCCCACGCTATGTCTTCCAGCCCGTAGTCGCCACTCGAGAACTTTTCTGCTCTCGTTTATTAAGCTACAACTGACCTTTGTGTATAGGGTCGGGTCCCTCCGTCACGAACAGCACCATATTAGGGTTGGCGTGCTTGTACAGCACGCTGCGGTCGCCCAGCACGCGGCCGGCCGAGCCCGCGCGCCCGCCGCCGGCCCGCGCCGCTACGATGCGATGCGGCGCGCCTCCGCCCAGCTTTAATGCCCATGTCTTTTGGGCTACCACTGCCTGGAAGGGAAGAAACAATAGTCAATGTAAGTTAAAAGGGTTTAAAAAATAGAACTCGAGCGCACCGCTACGATGCGGTGCGAAAACACTGGAAACCAAGTCGGGTAAACGCAACTGTGCAAGTTTATTTTATTTTCATATAATCAACATGAAATCAGACACTTTTTGTGTCCAGTTGTTTTCATTCGATAGCATACAACAACTAGGTTCATTCATTCATTCATTCATAAGTGCCACTTGTGGTCTAAACTGAATAAATATTTTTGATTTTTTTGATTTTGATTTAGGTTTCCTGCAACAGCTCCAAAGGAATTTCTTGGCGGATTTTTATAGGGGAAAGTTTGACGTCACCAGTCTTTAAAAAATTGTGAGCATGCCCATTGCCCATCGTGCTAAAGTAGTATAGAATACTGCAAACTAGGGTTGGATAAAATAACCAAAGGATCGCGCCTCGTAGTATCCCTCAAAGGTTGCTTATTTCCAGAAATGAATTAAAATTAGCTGAAATAATGATGAAAACAACATACCCTGCCGTCGTATCTTAGGGCGTATCCCTGCACGTCAGCAGTGTGCTTGTCAGCCACGTAAAGATACATGTTCTCCACCAGAGGGCCGGCGGATGCGGGGAATACCTGTGTGAATAAATAAAAAGCAATAATTATACATAATATCAATTAAAGTAAAGGGTAGCTCTGACTCAATCATCCATTTTAGAAAACATTTACATTTGAAGTAGGATAGCCAGTTCCTCTCTGGTTGAGGATTCCAAGTGAAACTAGCTTCCACCTTCAGCCTAATCATCACTTGATGTTGATAGATTGTGTGTATTAACATTGATGGTCAAGAAATAAATTCGTATTGAACTTTTATATACCAACATTGGGGTAATAAGGAATTTGAATTTGATTCCTCATTGTGGAAAAAAAAATATCTTACTTGCACATTCTCGTCCTTATCCAACAGCAATAGAGCATGCAGCTTCTCCGGGTCGGAGCGGTGTAGTAACGCGCACTGCAGTAACTGTGTATCGAGGTGTAAGACTCGCTCGCCTACTAGAGTCCCGCGGATCGGGTTAAGACTTATTATTAACCCTTTTCCTGCAACTATATTATACCACTTACTTGCACATTCTCGTCCTTATCCAGCAGTAATAGAGCATGCAGCTTCTCCGGGTCGGTGCGATGTAGTAACGCGCACTGCAGTAACTGTGTATCGAGGTGCAAGACTCGCTCGCCCACTAGAGTGCCGCGGATCGGGTTAAGGCTTATTATTAACCCGTTGCCTGTCTCCTGTGGACGATCAAATTAGTAGTATTCATTAAAAAAATATAAAAATGACGTCCAAACAAACTAGGTGTACAATTTGAGTAAGAATGTGTAGTCAAGTTACAATTAAATATGACTGTTAATCTCAAAGTGGTTTCAGCGATTCCTAATTTCATCTCGCCCTGAAACCATAATGTAAGCGCTTAGTTAAGGCGATTAGTGTCCTCAATCCGCGCCAAATGGGCATTTTGTAAAGCCTACTCCTCTATTACTGCTGGACAGAAATAGTTGAAAAAAATATATGTTATACAACAGTTCAAGGACTACATTTGTGACGTTTGAATTTTCGCTACGTCTCTTTGTTTTGGATTAAAAAAATAAATACGGGACATCGATTTTTTACTTAAATTCCCTACTCGTCCAAAACGGCTATGTTAATTTAAAAGATTTTTGCACGAATAGATTGGGAATTCTTTAATCTTTAAATGACACGTTGCGTTTTTCAATCGAGCATTACTTTCATTCATAAATTTTACTTTTGATAAATTCCGAACGTTTTGCTGTTGAGGGGGCCTTCGCGGGGTGCGGGCGGCAGTCGGCCGCTGGCCTTCAGACGGGGAGGTTGTGTCACTCGCTACAAACTGACATTAGCGATCAAAATGAATTTTTTCTTCGGATAAGTTGCACCACCTGACGTGACCTAACTTTGACCGTAGCTTTGGCGATAACCGGTGTTTTTTGTATGGAGTTAGACAGACTTTTGACGCTTGTCAAAGTTGAAGTAAGATGGTGCAACCCAGCTTTTGTTCGACAATAGATTTTATGTCAGAATTGTTCATAGAGTACGTGCAGTCAGANGAAAAAGTAGAGGCTATACTTAATTATCCGACTCCCAGCAATCGAAAAGAGGTCAAACGGTTTTTGGGTACAGCTTCTTGGTATAGACGGTTTATCCCGAACTTTAGTACAATTGCCGGTCCATTGAACAAGTTGACCTCCACTAAAAAATGTACTCCGCCTTTTCTCTGGACAGATGAAGCTGACAAGGCTTTTTTGAAACTTAAATCTCTTCTTGTTGATACACCTGTTCTTGCTTGTCCAAATTTTAGCTACCCTTTTGACGTTCATACTGATGCTAGTAATTTTGGTGTCGGGGCTATGCTGTCCCAGACGATTGATGGAGTCGAACATCCAGTCGCATACATGAGTAGATCTCTTACTGGATCAGAGAGAAATTACAGCGTCACAGAACGTGAAACACTTGCTGTTCTAGTGGCCCTGGAGCATTGGCGATGTTACTTGGAGAGTGGAAACCAGTTCACTGTTTACACTGACCACTCGGCCCTTAAGTGGTTCCTCTCACTTTCAAACCCAACCGGCAGATTGGCCCGATGGGGTGTCCGATTATCAGCCTTTAACTTTAATATAAAACACCGCCGCGGTAAGGACAATGTTATACCTGATAGTCTTTCTAGGTTGCCTACTCTTGCTGCGATTTCGGGATCATCTAGTCCAGTGACTCAAGACACTTGGTACCAGAATATATTTCAAGGATGTCAGGATTCACCAACTAGTTACCCTAATTATAGAGTTGAGAATGGTTCCTTATATCGTTTTATGAAAAGTAAAAATACCCTTACATCCGAGTTTGAATGGAAGCTCGTTGTTCCACAGGAGCAACGTCTCGGTGTTTTAAAGGATAATCATTCGGAACCCATTTCGGGTCATTTCGGAATTTTCAAAACCTACAAAAGATTATTACTTCGCTACTACTGGCCAAAGATGTATCCCGATGTTGTCAGTTACGTGTCTTCCTGTGAAACTTGCCTAGCTTATAAGCTTTCAACTCAGGGTACTTTAGGTATGATGGGGAGACCTAAAGAGTGTGGTAGACTTTTTCAAACCCTATCTATAGATTTAGTTGGCCCCCTACCGGCTTCAAGAAAACAGCACTGTTATATATTTGTAGTGACATGCTGTTTCTCTAAATATTGCCTCATGTTCCCGCTACGCAGAGCTACTGCTGATCTTGTTAGTAAACATCTGGAAGATTACGTCTTTTTGGTTCACGGCATCCCTCAAACCATTATCCTGGATAACGGCGTGCAATTCACGAGCCGTGAAATGGAATCTTTTTTTTTTCGGCGGTAGGCGCAAAAGTAGTTAACAGCTCTCTCTCATATTAAAATTGTATAAAAAATAGTTAAAGGCTAAATTGTTACCTTTTTATACTGCAATTTTCCTCAGAGGGCACTATTATTAACCCTCAAACGTTTGCATCACTTTACATGCTGTAATTATCACTGCACTGCACCTGTCACCGGTTCTCTTCACTTCGTTTCAACAAAACCAACACCATGTCTACTTTATCTGACGTTCACCAGCTACAGACATCCCTGGAGGCATCCCTGCATAAGCGCATGAGTGAGTTTGAGGCACAGCTGAAGCAATCATCATCAGAGCCGACTTCCCTCGGACGTCTATATTCAGAGTTCAGTGCGTTCAAGGAGAGTGTTGTCGGAATCGTTCAACTGCTACGCACACAAATTGAAGAGCTTTCTCGTGCCACTGATGCCCTTGAGATGCGACATCGCAGGAAGTGCCTCCTTTTTGGTGGCATCCCCGAGGACTCAAAGGAGGATGCCTCTGCGGTCATCTGTGACATACTAAGAGCCCGCTTCAACATGTCAGACATAACCAAATCTGCACTGAAAGCATGCCATCGACTGGGATCCAGCAGAGACGGCAGGCCACGTCCTATCCTGGTGCGGTTTGCTGAACATTCCACAAAATCCTCGGTATGGAAAAAGAAGACGGCCTTAAAGGGTACACCCACTGTCATCTCTGAGTTTCTAACTCGGAGTATACAAAACATATTCATGGAGACACGCAAGAGGTATGGAATTACTAATGTCTGGTCTTTGGATGGCAACATCTACGCAAAGCTGGCTGACGGGAGGCGCCGCGTTATTACATCCCTTGGCGATCTGGACATATTGTCAGCCAACTCCAAACAACCTGCCCCAGAGGTGTCTCAGCAAGAAAGTCCTGTTCCTACGCGAGCGGAGAGGTCGAGCAAGCCCCCCGGCATTTCACTGCGCCCCAAAAAAGTTAAGTCTAAGTAGGTAATTTGCGGCCGGTGTATCTACCCCCGCACTGTACTATTGCTCTAATTTCTGATAGTCGAGCTTGACCCACTTTTGCTATAACTAAATTCGGCTAAAACTATTATATTTTTTCACTTGAATCTACCTTACAGCTTGCAAGATTCCACCCGAACAAACATTTATGTAATTACCTACATACATCATAAATTGCAAGCTAAATAAAAGCTTGTAATAAAGTCGGGTTTGTTCAAATTTCGAGAACGACTGAACCGACAAAAGCATTAGAAAATTTACGAAAAATAAAATAAAATTTTATCCCGTACAAAATGTTCATGGATTTTGTTATTTTTATTAAATACCTTTACGCCTGAGTTAAATGACACCGACATCAAGGTTCATCAATTTAAGTTTAAAATAATAGGCAGTAATGTATGAAGAAAGAGCTTCTATTCTGTATCTACCTATGCCCGTGTATTTTTGATCGGTGTCAAATCGGAGTTTTTGGTGCGGGGTACGCGGGTGTTGCTCGCGGCGTGAAGGTCAAACGCCCAAGGTCATTGAGGACTCTAATCGCCTTAATATTCGTGTAATATTATCAATTTACCAGCAATTTTCATCATGAGCGCTCATTATGTTATTTTGACAATATTGATATTTGATTGATTGATCGTCGCGCGAATCGGCTTCACCATTTTGACGGTTTCGTACCCGTTAACGTGGCATGTGTTCGAAATTCGATCAACGGGTTAACTAAATTACGGCCAACTAGCAGCGATACAAAAGGTCGATACGACTGTCGAGTTGACAATATCTTCTATCTCTTCCCATCTTGTTTATTTCTCAAAGGATGAACTATACAAACATACCTCGTGTTTCCCCACAATAGTGAGGTATGCGTCGAGCGGCGGGTGGCGCGCTGAGCGCCGCGTGAACACGACCACGTTTTCAGCGTCCAGACTCGGCTCGAAGCGCTGCCACAAAATCTCGCCGGATAGGTTGTCCATGCCGAATATCTGGGAGGAGTAACATGCCATATTTAATACAGAAGCACTGGAATACAAGAAATAATGCAACACACCAAGAATAGAACATACAAGTCAGACAAAACAAATGTGTACCGATAGTTTCTACTTTGTAGATCATAATATGCATTCGATATTCTTCTAACTTAATGTAAGCTCGTATTTTGGATATAATTTAATTTTTGATTGGTTGAATTTAAATATTTTGGGACCATGGTATGAAATAAAGCCACAAACGTATAGCATAGCATAAACGTGAGCATATTGTTTATCTACGAGATCCTTTTACATTCGGTACACTCTTGTCAGAGTGGTCGTGGTCATCATTGTGAATTACGATTCAGAGTGATGTTCCTCGTAATACGGCGCCATTCCTCGCGGCCTTATTGCGGCCTTGATCTGGTCCGTCCATCTCATTGGTGATCTACCACGTGGTCTGGTATTTACGAGTGCATACAAACTAATCACAGCTGACTTGAATCTTCTTAAAAATATGTACTTAGTTCGATTATATTCTTACCTTTCCAGCATCAGTGACCAGCACAATAATCTTGTGCAGATTGAAGTAGTCTCGAACCAACGCTGTGGATGTATCCTGTGTGTTGGTCTCCGCGCCTTTGAGGCTTTGGATCAACGTCTGCAGCTGTTGAAACTGCGTCTGCAGGCGCCGGGAGAACGCGGCCCAAACCGAACCTAATGGTGGAGGTAATAGAAGCTGTATTTGCGTAAACATATGGTTATTATAAGAGTCAGAATTAGTTGGGTCGTTGGCTTCTATTCTACTGACTGTTTTGCAGTCACGCACGTCGCACGAGAATACAATGCGATACCTACATCATAATATTTTTTCTAAGGGCCCTCGCCCACGGCGACTTTTTCTAGCGATGCCTACGCGCTGCTGTAGCGCGTTAGTAGCGCGTTGGCATCACTTCTGTAGTGCGTTGCAAATGCGACTAACGCGCGTTAGTAGCGATGATGTCGCTCGTTTGTGAAACGCGCGACAAAATGTCGCCGTGAGCGAGGGCCCTAAGCTACTGTGTTTTGTTTTTTTTTTTTGTTTGTAACAATCATACAATGAATTGCCTTACATAAAAAAGAGATAACAGTACTTCTAAAGTATAAGCAGTGAACTCTAAAGACAAGGGCTGCCACAATAGATCAAACCTGGTCGAGTTGGCGCAAATAAAGGCCCAAAAACCAATAATAATAATACTTCTAAAGTACAAAGTTCAAACACTTTCTTTAAGATGCAACCACATTTCACATTACAAGTCGATCAAGGGTTTTGTGGCTAACAAAAGTGATACTGAACTATTATTTGCATTCATCCTTTGATCTGAATCTGGATATTATTAACTAATAATATGCGTCGGGCACCGGGTCAATCTTAGCAAACCGGTTATGTCAACAGCGGGGCTACTCCGAAAAACGTTATCTGAAGTTTCGAATGTTGCTACCCCTCTCACGCAAAGCGAGATGCCAGCATGAGCGACAGTGACAGGTAGAGTCGAAACTGCGTAAATAGCATTTCGGAATAGCCCTACAGGCGACGGCGTATCAGGTAGCAGACACCGGACATCGCCACTATAATTTCCTGACGACAGCCCGTGTGAAAAAGTTAGTACTTTGAAGCAAAGATAAGAGCTTCTGGATGAGGACACTTTCACAAAGCTATTTTAGCACTCAAAATTGGACCTTATTTAGCTAAGGAATTGGAATAACATTCATGAATAATTTACAATTTCACGATGACGGACGTTAGCAATGCCGAAGTTGTTAACAACTAAAAAGAAACTATGTGGATGTGAGTACAGTCAGCAACAAAAGTAGCGGTACATCAGAGACGCAGAAATGTCTATTCTCAACGAAGGAAGTGAGAAAAAAGGAGAGTTGCTTATCAACCAGTCACGTGCAACTGCAAAAGCTAATAATTGTAGTTTGGAATTATGTACATATTTATGTAGCTTATTGACAGGTAATCGAAAGTATAAAAACTACTATTTACAAGTGGGATTACTTCGCAATCAAGTAAATACGCCTGAACATATAGACTTAAAAATAAAAATCTAAATAACATTCACTTGATCAGATTGAGAACTGATCTGATACTGCGATACGTTTTGCGAAGTTTGTCGAACATAAAAAAATTTAAACACCAAGGAAAATATACAAAATGGAAAAGGCTACCACAACAGGTCTCAGTCGGAAGAGATTTTAACACAAAGTCTAGCACACATAATTTAGGTTCACACCCACAATCTACTGAATACTTACTATACATCTTGGCAGCTAGAAATAAGAAAAATTTCAATTTAATTTTGTCTCTTCAAATCAAATTCTTCACATATGTATAGTAATACAAAGTTATCATAAAGAAATGTATCACAACACTTCCTTCTTCAATAAAAGAAGTCGCATTCTTCATGGCATTCATGGCATCTTAACATCCATCCAATATCTAAGTTGCGCAAAACTCGATTCAAACTCAAGAAAGTAAATTATTGGCCAAATATAGAAAAAAACAGTCAGGCTTGAGAATGCTTCATTTTGAAAGAAGTTTTTAGTACCGGCTAGCTATTAAAACTTTTTTAAATGACAAAATGAAATAACAAACCTTCTTTCTGGTCGAACTCTGACTCAATGGCAGCATCCAGGTCTGATACAGGCAGGTCAACGAACTCCACTGCGACCACGTTCGCTAGGGATTCCTCGCGGGACCACAGGATACGGCCTGAGATAAGTAAAACACATATCTTAGAGAACAACTAATAAATGTTACACCATAGTTGAACTCTGGCTTAAGTTGTCATTTACTATGGAATCATTTTAACCAGTGTGCATCCTAGAATAGAATAGAATAGAATGTCTTTATTGCGGTAAATGTGGTACAAAGTAGTGATAAACAATGAATGTCCGTTTCACACATCTAACAAACGACAATTATTATTGACCTTGGTGTAAGTTTTTATTAATAAGGGGTAAGTGTCCAGACCTGTGAACGTGCATGAAGCATGCACACTACGCACCTTGAACGCGTGTGTCGTATTGAATTTGACTCATGCTTGCTTCTCGCGTAACTATGTACTGTTAGCGAGCAAGAAACCCGCATGGATTAATTGGGTTAAAAAACAACATATTTTACAACCCTCCCGTAACGAAAGACGTTAACATGTTTCGGATCTTACCATCTCTCTCATAAAAGCGAGATGCCAACATGAACGACGCAACAGTGACAGATAGATCAAACAACAGTGTCAAACTAAGTCGTCTACTTACCTCCCTGCTGCATAAGGTGCACCGAGTCGTCCGCAGCGGTTATCAGCAGGCGGCAGGCGTGCATCTCGCGTGGCGTGGTGCTACACAAAGTTGCCGCCAACTCGGGCTCCACCGGCCGGAATGCCGCGTCTGAGCTGCGAATCTCGGACACTGGAGCGCCTGTGGACGCGCTGTGGGCCGTAAGGGAGAAGCCCTGGAAAGAATTGAGGGGATGATTAATGTTGCATAACCTAGGAACTGCCAGTTACGAACTGGGATTGAGAGTTTATAATAGGCTGGTTGGATGCAGACTGCTTCAAACCTGTTAACTATTCAGTCCTACGATGAACGTCATTTCATCTGCCGACTTTTTAGGAGAATACACAATAAATGAAGTAATAAACAAGTACAGCTTATGACTGCTGTCTGTGGAGGAACACTATAATGTGATCGCGATCCTCATCAGTAAGGGACCGAGGAAGAAAAAGGAGTATAAGAAGAATAAGCAATTTTTATTGTAATCTCAGTTCATTCTCAAAGGCTTGTTTGTTATTCAATGTTACATAACTTGTTCTTTGAAGGGTTGTACCCTTGATATTTTCAATCAAAAACATACTAACCTTAACTTCATCAGTCCATGTTTGTAGTACCAGTTGTCCACTGCCACTGTCTACTATAGCCACACTGGCCGACTGGTCCGCCACACTGACGCCTAGCACTTGGAACTCATTATTCTTGATCAGAACAATCTTCTTATCCCCTATAATGAAGCCAGGCTGCACACTGTTAGCATCTAAAGCTCTGATATTGCCATTGTCTTCGGAGATGTACTGGGAGAGTGGCTTGCTTATAATTTGTACTGCATTTGATGTTACGTCCAGCGAGAGCAGCAACTGACTTCCCATGTTGCCGGAAACACAGCTGTAGTACGGAGCTGATAGTACACATCTGGAAGCAAATAATTGTGATATTTTCCAATTGACATTCTTATGAAGTTCTTCTTTATAACTTGATCCTTATGTAGGCCATGACATTATGAACCATCACTACAAAAGATTAGGAACAAACTCAGATCAACAACCAGAGAAAACAAGATAAGACTATCTTAGCACATTAAAACAAAGAAGGCTGATAATGATGATGATGAAGTGAAATGGGAAAAGGCATAGAAGAAGATTCTTTGTAAAACTTGTAAATATTATCTACACATGTGTATTCTTTTTGCATAATAATTATGTAAGCCCTTTTGTCATATTTTAATCTTTTTAAAAGCAAATCGCCACAATGCAATCCATATAAATCTGTGAAACTTACCCTTCATTAGTCCAAATTGCCGGCAACCTAGACGTAGCTCCCCTATTCTGGCCAGTCATCAGGTTGTACATGGACACCTCGAGGTGGGATCCGAACACGGGCAGCAGGTGCACCAGCATGCCTTGCTGCACCCACCACTCCGAGAACTCTGCGTGCTCTTCCTTCTGCAGGGTCAGCGACCATTCCCATAGGAGCACACCTGGAGTTGTAAGTTTGGTCATTACAAATTTGGAAGCCGTCTTATAAATTGTGGATGATTTTATTACATAGTAATTCAAGGGAAAACTCAATCGAATCTGAAAGAAAAAAGTATCTTACTACTGTACTATTTAGGAATTAAGAATTGTAAACAATCAAAAGGAAAACCAGAGAGCTAGAAAATGTACATGCGAAATAGGGATTTTTCATAATAATAAAAGTTATCATTGTCTATAATACTGAAAAATATATTTTTTACCTGTTGTTGAGTCCCATCCCCTCACTAGATAGGGATTGGACCCAGTGACAGTCACGACTTTCTCCGAGACATGCAGAAGCTGGATATTGCCTGTAGACGCACTTTCTAGTACGTGGCGCCATACTACTTGCCCTAAACCAGAATAAAAGCAAGTAGAATTACAAAACAGACCTCTAAGTTGAACAACTTTAATTTTGATACTTTTTTGCTGATTCATACAACAAATTTCATATAAGATTCCAATTCGCCTAGCTAGACAGATGAAGCTAAATAAGATTCATTCATCAGAGCTCATTAATCAATAAGAATGTAGGGGTTACTTCATTTTGCACTTACTGTTTCTATTGCTTACTTAGCATAATGTAATTTAATGTTTATTCAGCAAGTCATTCAATGTTTTTTTATTGTTATCACTACCTAATTAAAAACGGAAACATTGAATAAAATCAATTACCTGTCTTCAGATTCAAAGCCGCTAATACATTCTCTTCAGTGGCCACAATAATCTTTTTGGCCGTTGAAACTGTGTCAAACTGTGAGAATTTTATCCTTCCCACGTATGTTTGCCGCCTGAAAGTAATAATTTCATTAAAAATTCACCAAACTGTGAACCTTCAGTGACATGAATATTATAACCTAAAATGTTAATTTACCAGTCGAATTTGCCTATTTGATCCTCGTATATACATACTGAGAGATTAATTAAGCTAAAGAACACAATAAACCAGTTGAAACTGTTTAAAAATTTTAATAAACCCAAAAAATTGGGTTTGATAGAAATTGACAGCACCCCCATATCTAAATGACTGAAATGAATAATGTTGACATCACATAAATTAAAATTACTTCTAACATCTCGGAATACATCGCCAACATCTCACGGTGGCATGCACGGTGGATATGTCACAAAATATGTTTAAACAATATCATAAAAAAATATTATTAATAAATTAAGTAATTTAGATTTTGAGTTAGGAAAAAAGATAATTAATGTATAAGTAATTTGTCAATTTAAAACTTTGATCACCAGCAGAGTAATCAATCAAACTAAAAAATATTAATTAATATCCTTCTCAAAAAGATACCTATCCCCAAGTTTTGTATTTGTGTAGGCTAGGCTCATATATATACTGTGCTAGGCACCTGCAGGGAGTGTTGTTCGGAACCGATTCAGACCTTTTGCTACAGTGGCGGCGCGATCCCCCCCCNCCCCTGGTACCCCCAGGATTTGTGTTACCTACCGATTCGAAGATTGAAAGAAGACAATCGCACCCCCCCACATCACGACAATGCAGCCAGTGAGTACTAATCTGCGCGACTGTTGTCACCCCCTGATGCTTGGCTGCTTGGCACCCGGGGCGGACTTCTTTTTTTAGGTTTCATTACTTTTTTATACTTTTTAGTTACTTTTGTTGTGTTTTTAATTTTGTCGGATTGTTTCAAATTTTATTTTGTAATAGGTTGATAATGTGAAAATGATACAATATTTTAAATGTATTGTGAATAATTTATTCTTATTGGATTATTGGACAAATAAAATCATTTCACTTTGTAGTCATTGACGTTCTCTCTAATGTGAAGAAATCTACTAATTCAAGTACAGTTAATTGTTATGGCAATATTCTTTGAACGTTCCGTTTCACGCATTTTATTTTCTTATATTTTGGTTCTTGTATCAAAATAATGTTTTGTTTAATCCTATTGGAAATATTATTTTCCTCATTTGATTTTGCTTGAAGAACGCGTGTGATTGGCCACCGCGAATATAACTAACCAATAAGTTAGTACTCAATGGGAATGGTAGCACCTTGGAAACTATAGCTTTGACATAATTTAAATTCCCTCACCTGTTTAAATTGGAAGAAACTTTAACTTTTACTTAATTCCAGTAATGTAACTAGCTGCAAATCCGCATAATGCCACGATCATACACATTGGATCACCAATGTGAAACAAAAATGAATGAAAAAACCTCGTTGAAAATAGTTAGGTAGGCTGTGTGCTCGCACTAGGCGGCTTTCACCGGGAGGGAACATTCCAGGTGCAAGCTCTCGCGGCGATTAATCGCTGTGGTGACCGTACTTCACGTTATAAGTAGGTTAACAGTATGTAGGTACCACAGGTAGTAAGTGCCCTGCAACAGGCAACTTTTGGTCTTATGGCCAGTACCCTGAGCACGAACTCTCGTAATCCTACCGTAAACAAGCGTAACGTCGCTGTCTTGTTTTTCATACAAATAAAAAGAAACGATTATCATACCACAGAGAACGATATTTATTCGTGCTCCAGGTACTGAATCTTAATACAGACAGCGTACTTTGATTGGCTTTAGTGAGTATTTTAGCTAACAGTGTGCCCTCAGTAACGAAAAAACTCAAGTTCATCGCCATCAACCCAAAGAAGAAGAAGAACCTTTTAGCTAATATCTAGGTATTTTAAGTCGGTTGGTCCCAATAACAAAAACTATCATTAGTATATTCACAGTAGGTAAGATGAGTAGCTACCTTACCTAATAAGAATTAGATAATTATTTATTATCGCAAAAAGTTGTAACGTTTGGTCACCGCGCATCATCCGCATCTTGCTGAGTGCGCGTAGTTCGGTATTTAAATGCATAGTGCAATTTATGTTCGTTAACAACCTTCGCAGAAGTCGTGAATTATTTATTGAACATTTCCATTCCTGAATGAAGACACAAGCCATTGCCAATCAACCGGTAACGAACAGCCGTTTCCATTGGACGCTTTCCAAACAATAGCCTGCAGCGAAATTAAAAGTTGACGTTGTAAATTACATGAAATTACAATTTTATAGTCATAAGAAGCAGAGATGTAATACAAATTGTAGTTTTAGATACCTACTCAAGTTTATAATTAAAACTTAAAACGTGATTATAACTTAAGATAGACTTGGGGATGTGATGTGATTGACTGAATTTCAGTAGGCCATAGACTTGTTGAATTTCACGCTTATAGTTATTAACTAAATTATTATTGTAATTAACCTTTGAGCACCGTATCCAGAATAGCAAGCCTTCTAAAAGCAGGTAACCATATTTATGTAGACTCGCAACTTGAGGGTAGGTACGCGCAGAAAATCATGCTGGAACCCGCGTTTCTTGTTTAAAATTTATCTATGAGCTCTCTTTTGTCATAAATTATTTTTGTGCTCTATCTCAATTTGTCTATTTTTATAAGCTAGATGAAAAAAAATCAATTATTTGTCAGTCAGACAGATAATTAGAAAATATTAGACTCATATTTTTTATTTTCTTTCATAATTAAATAATAACAGTGCTACATCGAGTTGAAATGACGCGATACGTCACGCTTGAGTAGAATTTTTACTCAAAAGTGACGTCACGCGACATTTCAACTCAATAAAATACTGTAATTATTCCATTATGGAAAAAAATAAAAAATATGAGTCTAATATTTTCTAATTATCTGTCTGACGGACTAAATAGAATTTCGATTTCATTACCCAGTCATCATCCCTATTATATTCTAAAAAAATATAAGCCCCGTGTAACAGGAATACACAGCGCAGTTTAACATGGCGTTCGTCGCTGCTGCATGCGGTCGGCGCAGTGCCGCACCGTGCTGCAATGCCGATGTCCGCGGCACTGCAACCGCAAATGCTTACATTTTGTTTATGTTCACGTAAATGGTACGGTGCAGAATTGCTTTTTAACGCATAGTAAGTAATGATCTTTATTTCACTGCAATGCGTTGGAATATACTCAATTAAGTAACTTACTAAAATGTTGTGAGCTAGAAAGAAAGTTAAATGCGAGTACCTACATATTTTACGCACAGTTTGTCATCATCATACGGATGACAATAATGTTGCTTACATGCTAGGTACGGTGCTTGCATATTGCTACATAACTATGTATTTCTCGGTACCTCAACTCTTAAGTTAAACCATAGGCTCTTACGTCGTCGACTCTACATCATCATCATCATCATCATTTTAGCCATAGGACGTCCACTGCTGAACATAGGCCTCCCCCAATGCTTTCCATGTTGATCGATTGGTAGCGGCCTGCGTCCAGCGCTTCCCTGCTACCTTTACGATGTCGTCGGTCCACCTTGTGGGTGGACGTGCCACGCTGCGTTTCCCGGTACGCGGCCTCCATTCCAGAACCTTGCTGCCCCATCGGCCGTCAGTTCTGCGTACTATGTACCCTGCCCATTGCCACTTCAGCTTGCTAATCCGTCGGGCTATGTCAGCGACTTTAGTTCGTTTACGTATCTCCTCATTCATCTCGCAAAGAAACACCGAGCATAGCCCTCTAGCATAGCAACTCTACATCCACTAGCCAAATTTCACACGGGCGAAGCCGCGGACGGAAAGCTAATTATGTCATAATAATACAAGAGCGAAAAAGTCTGGTAGATAATTATAGGTTGCCTGTTAATTCAGAATCTGCAAATTGTATTCACTCATTTAATGAGTTACCTATTTTGTTTACTATTCTTTGCTATTGTAAAAAGATAATCCACACTTACGTTAATAAATTAATTAATCGCATTCTTACAAAACCTAACGATGCAACCGGCCTACCTAACAAGTCGGCAACAATTTATTACAAAATTATTTATCGTACCTACCTAACTACCTGCTATACGTATACCTACTGTAACATAATATTATTATTTGCTATAACTATTACTATTATGCATTTTTATGCATAAATATTCACTAATAATGAACCTAAATTAGCTGTATACTTAAAATTATGTAATAAGTTGGGCGACTAACATCGACTAAGAAAATTACACTGGAACTTAGTTTCAAATAAGTGTCCTCATTAATCCTTTATTAAATGAAAGTTTTTCATATTTAATTATAATGACAAGGTAGAACCCCTCATAAATGTTCACGACTAAAATTCCTAATAAATATTCTACATACCTACATTCATAATGATTCAAAAGTTTCAGGTGCAGGTCCAACTTAATAGTTCCCAACCATAAGGGGTCTTAAATTCACGATTATTTCATTTAAGGTCACGAATTGCTACTCAAATCACTCAAATGAACATTTTGTTATGAAGTCCGGTAATTATGCTGAGTAAGTATACAACGGTTCTGTGTTGTCTGTCTGACAGTAACATAAAAATTGTTAGGTCTATTACTTTAGGCATTTATTTTATTTGGGAAAACAAGTTGTTTAAAATATCACGAAACTACAGTTAAACAGCACATAAACACATAAATCAGTTAACATAAAACGAATAACACGCAAGTGCCTACCTATAATTTGCAGTAAAACAAAAATCAATAAGTGCGTTCAAAAATTACTTCATTAAAATCCATAGCCGGCATGAAATTGATCATAATATCTGTGATAATAGCCCGTATTACGAAATGATGCTGAAAACTGAAAACTCGATTGGAACTTAAGACTTAACCAGGAACTATAAAATAATGAAGAAAATAAACTTAAACTTACTTCAATAAATATCCGAATTTAGTTACCGATTTTCTACACGATATGAACCTTTTAAGTCGAAGGAAATCAATGATTTGCCGGGTAAATTATAGCCTAGGCTGCATGGGAATTTCAACACATGCACATACAATAGGAAGTAGGTACGTACAACTGCTCGAGCAGTTTCATTGAAAAAGACAGCCTATAAAGGCTGTCTTCAAAAAAAAATCACATCAACAATCATTCAAAAAAATCAGTAAATCACAAAGAAGAAGATTTTTAACTAAAAAATGGGTGTCCGTTAAATTCTTTACAATAAAGCAATTTCATAGATAAAAGACCTATTTTAAAGCGCATAGTTA